GCGCAGCCTGGGGCTGGAGTGGGGGGCACTGGTCGTGGGAAGGGGACGGAAACAGCCGAAGGGCCGGTGGGCCTGGGCGGCCCTGAGCCGGGAATGGTGCTGGCTTTGTCCTGCCTTCGTCCAGTCAAGAGAGGCCTGCGCACCCGGCAGGCTGCAGGGGTGTTTCTGTGATCCCCCAGCCGTCCCCTCTCCCTTTTCCTCCTCGGGACCGCGGTTCCCCTTGGCCAGGCCTTGCCTGCTAACGGAGTCCCCCATCTGCGTCTCATGGGCAGGCCTTTCCCCAGGGGGCACAGCTGGGGGGCAGGGAGGTAGCCAGTGGGACTAGAGGGCTGAGTTGCCTTCACCCTCCATCTCAGGGTTTGTCTGGAGGACACGGCCGTGGCTCATTGTGTCAGCTCCTGAAGTTGTTGAAGTCTTTGAGCTGTGACGGTTCGCAGCTTCATTAGGTTTCATACTTTCTCCTAGTTCTGTTGAGGAAAGAAGATGGCTCACGCTCTCCCTCTTCCAATTCCCTGCCCAGTCCAGCTTGGAAGTATAAAAGGTGACTCCCTGGAAGCTCAATTGCACGAGTATGTCAGGCAAGGAAACTATGTGAAAGTGAAGAAGCTTCTGAAAAAAGGTGAAAGCTAAGTTTAGACAAGTGTTGGCAGAAAAGTTTTACTTTTTCCTGTACACTTGTATTTGTGGTAAAAAATAGCATACTGTCTGTACAACTCAGTTTTGTGAGTGAAATATATTTACAAAATGAATTCTAGTTGGCCTTTTCTGGTAAGTGGCACTAATTATTGAATCAAAATATGTTTTATGAAAATAAGTAAATTGAAGAGAAAACAAAGCTTTTAGTTGTAAGGTGCTCATAAGGAAATGATCGAGGTATTGTAAAACTAAAATACTGAAAGTCTACTTTAGGCATATAGTCTGTAAATGGGATTTTAACGTTAATTCTGATTGCAGAATGCTTGAGGTATGGTTTAGATACTGGTATTGTCGACACCTGGGTTTTTAAGTACACGGCAACAGGAATTTTGTAAATGAAGCCTAATATTTGATGCAGCTCTATTTCGTTTTTACTGTCAAGGACTTCAACAGCACGTGCTGTTCCTAGAGGTGCGGCTTCTCTATGGCAGAGGAGACTGGATGTGCGAGCCGGGGGCTGCGTGCGGAGAGGCGGCGCCCAGCCCCGGGGCGGTGACGGGGTGACGGGCGCTGGGCT